CAAAAATTAAACGTATTTCATTATATCATTTATTGCACAATAATAATTTTAAGTATTACACCGGCTTATAATATAAACATATATTATTGTGAACATAATTTTAAGCATATTACATATTGTTAATTAATATTTAACAAGAAGCTCATGTAAAAGAAATAAATAATGTTTATGATAAATTAATAGAATAATATATAAAGTTATAAAATAAGTTAATAACTACAATATTGCCAATTTAAGTGAATTTGTAATTAAGTTATTAAAAATTTTATCAATTTAATTAAATATATTAACAGATGGTAGCAACAAATAATCAAAATATTTTACTAAATCTTTAAGAACCACTTTACTAAGAAATGTGATACCATAGAGATTTTAAGGCATATCTTTACCATTTTACTATTTTACTACTTTACTCAAAAGCAGCACTCTTAAGTTAATTGAATAAAATTTTAACTCAAAATGTCTGTAGAAAATCATTTAATTTCTTTTAATTATTGCTATAAATTACAATTTAATTTAATTTATTTGTATTTCCACAGAATATTTAAGCATTTGGAAGTTATAAAAATAAGAGAATCCACCTTCACTTGATATCGATTTCAATTACAATTAATCGAAAACATTTTCAATTAAATGAAAGCCCACATAAATTTTGTGTTGTCTTTTTAGCAAATTAAAAGCAAGAAAATTGATTAAAAATGCAAAGTAATGCAAGCAAAATAAACAATAAACGCGACGACTCCAACAACAACAACAACGTAAGAAAAAAAAACCAACAAAAACATTTTAAAAAAAAACAAGTAAACCCAATGTAAACACGAGTGTAAAGAAAAACCCCACCCAATAATATCAATTTCACATTTAATACAACAACTACAACAAAAACAACAACAATATCAACATAATTGAATAGCAACAACAGTAACAGAATATTGTACAACAACAGCAACAGTGTAATAGTCTCATCCCTCCACTTTATAGCAACAAAACGTATACGGTTTAATGTCAATATAAGCGCATAAGCATTAAACCCGCATAGTTCAAATTTGCCCTGCTGTAAGTTAAGTCTTCTACCAATAAAACAGCAAAAAAAAAAATTTGACAATTGCACTAACATTAAATTACGAACCTTATAATTTGAACTGTTTGTTGTTTGTTTGTTGGTTGTTGTTATTTGTTTTGCGTTGGTGTTTTGGTGTTGTTGTTAGGTTTGGCTATAACGCTGCATGACGTTAGCGTTGTGTTTAGTTTCGAAGTTTTGAAGTTATTTGGTCGCTTTAAAAGAATCCTCTCTTTAATAAATTTGTTGTTGTCTGTTGTTGTTCCAGGCTTTTTAAATGTTTTAATGTTTTAAACACGTTTTATTTATATATTTTTGCAATAACAATAACACTATGCACTAACATTTTAAATGCATCAGCTGGTGTTAAGCTTAATGTGGCCTGTTAATTCTTTTAGTTTTAGCATGAGACAGTACTAATATGACAGTACGGGGGTTGTATGCGTTCAATTTATAAGCACACTTAAAAATTACTGCTTTAAAAGTACGAGGGCTGTATGCAAACATTTTATGAGCATAAAAACTTTTTAGTGGTTTAGCTACTTCAAAATCTCACAACCATTTTTATATTATTATTTTTTAATTAAGCATCAAAAATATAAAAAAATAAATTTTCAATAGCTTTAGTTTTTTTTTTTGCATTACTTAGTGATTTAAAAATATAGATAATATAATATAAACAATAGAAGGAAATATTCAGGTTTTCTATCTTTAGTTAAAATTTCAACAAAAAAATAATTGGTTTACTTAATAAAATACCAGGTTCACATCTTAGGTTTACTTAAGAAAATAATTATTAAAGTAAAGAAGATAATTATTATTAAAGTAAAAGTAGAGAATACCTTTACTTAAAGTTTTTTTTATTATTTGTGAATGGTTAAATACTTGGGTTTATCAAAGAAAATAATTATTAATTATAATAATTATTATCTGTCTGTATTTAATTTAATTTTTTTTATTCATAATTCAAAAAATTAGTAACTGTAATAAAAATACATAGTGTAGCAGCAGTGAAACTTTTTGAGAAAAAAGTTCTTTATAAGATCTATGATTCTCTATGAGTTGGCGACGATTATCGCATCCAAAAAACCACGAGCTACATGAGCTTTATCACGATATTAATACATTTCAATGAATTAACATCCAGAGGTATCGCCGACTAGGTCATGTCGGAAAAATGGATGAAGATGATATAGCGAAAAAACAATTTAAAAGGATATTTAGGTGAAGAAGGCGTAGAGGTAGGTCGTGTATTCGGTGGAGTGATCAAGTTGAGCAAGCACTAACCGTACTTGATGTATGAGGCTGGAGATAGTTCGCACACACTAGGGGCGTCTGGAGAGATATTCTGCGTCAGGTCAAAATTTAATAATAGCTTGTAGCGACCGTTTTTTGAAATTTAGTTCAATAAATTAACTAAATTTTTCTGGTAGATTTTTCAATTCTATTCGAACTCTCTAAAAATTTTATTGCCATTAATAGCCACAAATACCACAAGTTCATTTAATGGCCAAGTAAGTTCATCTTCCATGAGACGGTCATCTCTTAAAACACTTAGGGTAGTTATTAGGCCTAAAGTGAAAACAGTGTTTGTACTAGTAAGCATTTCAATTTCTAATCAAGTCAGGAAATGCCAGGCATTTAATTTTTATTATTTACTCAGCACATTGTCCACATATTTGCAATTATTTATGCACGTACATATCAGCAACAGTAATTTAATCCATTATAAATTTGTTTGTGTATCGACTTAGTAATATTTTTCATTCATAAGAGTTCAATTTCCGATTTTACCAGCTAAACCCCGTCAACCCCACTTTAGTTATGCTCAACTCCAACTCCCTAACCAACATACCAAATTAACACCATTCACTCTTTATTATGAGGATTTCATGTTTTGTGTATACTTTGTGGTGCAAATCGCTTGTCCTGAGGGGTTCGCACTTTTATTGTTGAACAAAGAAGCCCACAATGCACAAAAATGGTGGCGGGGTATATGTGGGACAATACACAATGGAGGGTTAAGTAAATTGATTTCATTTTTGATGAGTACGTGTGGCATTTTTATTTTTTTTTTATTTTTTTTTTAATGTTCATTTATCCTGTTTGAATTGTGTTAATATACAGGATTTAACTTGTTGAGCGTGAATTTTTATCACAATTTGTAGCCACAATATTTCTAGCAAAATGTGCGGACATCGCATGAGTTCCAAATATGTATGGTACGTATGTAGGTATGAATGTAAGCATGCATATATATGAATGTGTGTAAGTTAGTAAACTTCTGTAGCTCATAAATTTTATTTAAATTTTTGCAAATTATATAATCCTTTTTGGTATTATTTGCTCGCAGGCTGTGTGCTGCAGCTTTAATTTTGCGGATTAAATATTAGTTAATTTATTTGCAATTTAGCCATGGCACTGCTGTTTTTCCTACGGGTGATTGATTATTTAAGCAAATACGTTTGAAATGGAACTGAAATTAGAGCAAATAAACCGTGATAAAATATTATAGCAGGCTTGCATATAGCGTTTTTACTATCCATTTCTTTTTCAATTTAAATTATTTAAATATTTCATTAAAGTTTAACATAACGTCATAAGCGGTTTATCAAACAAATTTATCAATAACGATAATAATGTAAATTTAGAGGATGATTTGTTTTATGATAAAACTATTTCATTGTTACATTACAATGTAATGTTTGTAATAACAAAGACGGTCTGAGAATCTTAACTGAAAGGGGAATGAAAATATAGCCTATCGCACTTTAGGTAATGTGAGTATAATTGAGGATTTTCTAGAGAAATATAGATAACCAACCCCAGTGGATCCGTGGATCACAGGACGATTGAATGAACGGGATCACTGAACGAGGAATAGGAAAAATTATGACAACCTTGATATAATCCGTTTAAAGATTCAATTATGGCGTGCGGTCTATTCAAGCAAACTTTTACAAGAGAGTCAAGAGGATTAAAGAACTTATTATAAAACTTTTATTATACATGGATTGTTATCTATATCTATAGGTATATCCATAGGTATATAATATACAACTTTCGTCGGAGTACCTTAAAGAAAATTAGATTCAACCATTCTAACACAATCGATTGAAGTTTTAACTAAAGTTGTAAAATTTGTTCAATGATTAAGTGCAGACAACAGCGGGTGTTTGATTTGGAGAAAGGGCCCAAGTCATCTATATATCTATATATATCAACATCTATATATATTCACGAAATTGAAATACTAAACCTCTCATATTTATTTCATCTACTGATTATTGGAATGCGATTTCAGCAATCTGGAGTCATTTCTCAATCTGGTGGCAGATTTATTTTAACTCGGTCCTAACAGCTAGTTTTAGTGAGTTCAAGTGTAATACAGTGACTTTTGATGCTTTCCACATATCACATTCAAAAACACAAAAACAAAAATAAACTCTTAAATTTACAAAATCGTAGTCCGTAGACAACTGAGTATCCCGGAAGGTTATATCATAACCACAAAATGAGAAATATTATGAGAAATATTATCAGATATTATTTATTGGTATGTACTTTGTACGATGGTGCAGATTCTTATTTAAATTTCTATCTTATCCTATTGAAATAATTAGCTATCTTCAACTTCAGAACTATTACTAAAAATATTTCGCTAAACACATTTGCTAACATATATATTTGCTATATAATAAATATGATACATACTTGCTATATAATAAATATGCTATATATGGTATATACTTGACACTATAATTCAAAATATTTGGTTTTGGGCGGCCAAACTAAAATTGATTTTTCCAGTTATTTTAAATTTTTTTTCATTTTTCAGTTCAAACAGTTAGATAAGATAAAAATTTTGAAGACCGAATTATATTTCTTTTGGTGTCGTTCTATATAGTCAAAATAAATGCAAAATAAATAAAGTAGAAAATTTATGGTGAATGTGTATATATTTTAACTTATTGAATGTTGTAGCCAAAAATTTATATCCAAAGGGTTGTATTTAATCGTCATTCTGTGTCAATTATATTTTGCATGTCGTTTTATTTGCATGCATCTTTCAAGCCACTCTAACAGAAATAGAAATAGATTCCATCTTCTCTAACCTTTATTCCGGAATTCTCTGTTAACATTTAACACATTCATACTCGCTAGTCCGGCTCACTCATATCGTTATATGAAATTTCGTTTTGACATAAATGGGTATCTAGTGCCTTGAAAAAAATTTTTAAACATATTTGCCCAATCATAAACACTTTTTTCTTACATTTTTCGAGTCAACTTCTTCAATGGACATTAATGAACCTTGAACCGGAGATGACGGTTCCTCAGTATCGCCATTAAAATATTTTATTATACCGGGGCTTATAGCTAATTGAGGAGGGGAATTTGTACTTCTCCCCTCCCAAAACTTTATAAGATTAGCTACAAGCCCCTTAGGTATTTCATTAGTCGTTACTTGTTCAGGGTTCGAAGAAAATTGCTGTAGAGCCGCATGGTTTTTGAGATTAAACAGACGCTTCATTTTCAGAAATTTTGAATTTTGAATTTTGAATTTTTAAAACTGAAATTTTGAAACTATTTGTAAAAAATATGTTTTAATCTAATGAACTAATATTTTACATATAGCTGGTTAATAATTTTAAAACTTTCTGGCCCACTGTGCTTATTATTTTTTTTTAAATAAAAAATTGATTCAATTATTATCGATAATATATTATCGAAAATTTAGAGACTCTAAATAAGCTGTTTTCAGAGCGAATTTAATCAGAGCGAATTTAAGATTTAGAAATTATTTGCAAAAAAATTAAATATAAAGTGAAAATTAGAATAAAAAACGTCGTCTGCTAGTGCGGCCCCTTAATGATGCAAAGAGGTTATAGTCAAGTGGCGTCAGATCTAAAGAGTACGACAGGTGTGGGAGGATGTTCTATACAAGCGATTTAAAAATAACTTTTACTAATCTTGTTATGTGAAACGTAGTATTCTCGTGTCACAAAATCACTTTGCCTTGTCCTTTGAGGTACTCCGGTCGTCTTTTTATCAATACGTAATATAAATTAATCATTTTTTGGCGAAAGCATTGTGCATTAACCCGGTTTCGTTGGGATTCAATAGTTCATAATACACAATACCGCTATCTATGATTACATTATGTTTCACAAAAGAGATGTTTATCTTTAATAGGAAATATAGCTTAATAGCTTCTAAAGTAATTGGGATTTTAAAAAGCACTATTTTTCTAAACACCACCAGTTGGTTGTTTGGTTAGTTGCCTTGGTAGGCCAAAAGATAACATTTATGTAACTCAATTAGCGAATTTTCGCCGTTTTGCTACATAATTCCTCTGAAGAACCCTAGTATAAAAGAGTAAAGACTAAATCTATCACGCCGAATTTAGATAATTTAATAGATTTTTCGACTTTACCGATGAATATTCTGATAAACTATCAAAGAAGTATCTTGCTAAAAACCTATGCTATATCTTCTGGATGCCAAAACCAGGCATTTTTTCCTGCGGATTTCCACAACTTCTGCAGTGAGAATTATAAGAAATGTGTGTGGGTTCCTATACACCAATGACCAGAAAGAACTACAGTTTCACCAGTAGTTCATATAATAATTTTTAAAGCATACCAATAACTTTAGTTCCAAGATTTTCACAACCATTTAAATTTATATAAAATTATAATGCTCATATTGTATTAAATATCCTAATTTAAAAAAAAAATAATTTCCCTTAAGAAAGGCGAGATTTGATATGTTCGACAACTAACCATAAAATTTTAAGATGTCTTCAGTCACTTCGTATGCACTTTAACACCCATTTGTCCTCTCTATCAGAATTGATAAAATCAAAGATTAAAGAAAATAATATTGCATTTATCACAACATTTTTATGGCAAATTGGAAAAAGGATTTTTTCGAAATCCTACGCTTAAAGTGGAAAACATGAAATACAATTAATCTTAAAAATTTTTGTGTGCCAACCAAAACTCATTTCATATATGAAAATGGATTAGATTTGCCAAAAAATAAAGATTTTTTCCAATATTGAAGTTTATGACGGCTAAGAAAAAAAATATCAAAAAATAAGTTGTTGTTGTTATTTTTGTAAGAAGAATAAACAGAGGCACATTTGTGCGGAAGAAAAGAGAAAAACAAACAGGCACTCGAAAAATTCCCGAAATAATACGGTTACGCCCGCCCGTCCGCCTAACACTGTTGTCTCAACACACCAACTAATGGTGAAATGCTACGAAGTAGCGCTTTTCCTGCTTCATATAAGTGGATCAGCACGTAATGTATTGCTCTTGTTGTTGTTGTTCTTATTGTTGTGTTTTAATGCTTTTAAGCATGTTTTTGTTTGAGATTATATTTTTTAAATATGTTTTGTTTTTTTTTTTTTTTGTTTTCTTGGTCTTGGCACTCTTCTTCTTTTTCATTTTCTGTTTCGTTTTCTTATTGTTTTGGTAAATATTTTCTTTCAAGGCAAAATTTATGTAATATTTTTATTTACCAAAAAGATTATCCTTTACGTATAAATTGCCTCACAATGTCTACTTTTCATTTGTATTGCTTTTATGTATGTTTGATTGGTTGTTCATTTTTTGTGCACACATATGAACTTGTGTTATATGCTATTTGTTAACAACAGCACCAACAAAAATTACTTATGTCAGTGAAAAATATTTACAAAAACAAAAACAAAACCAAAAATCAAAACAAGGCAATCTTGAAGGTTCTGTGTTTACTTACCAGTGAGTCTCAAGGATTTTTCATGTATATTTTTTGAACTTTATTATCCTTTTATTTATTTACATTTTGATTTTTACTTTTTCTCTGTTATTCTAACTTCAACTGAAGTTTATTTGAAGTTTTTACAGATAGTTATCGCAAAGTAAACACATTAAATTTAACATTAATATTAAAAGGATTAAGGAAGAAGTCCTTAAATTACAAAATGTTCTTTAAATTTACTATATTCATTTTAGAAATTAATATAAGAATTAAAATATGTTATGAAATTTTAAAGTTTCAATTTCCAATATTTCAAAGTTTGTTTGACTTCTTCCTTAGAGGGGAGTATTAATATTCAATTATTTAATATTTAATTCAACACATTTGATTTATGAATTTGAAATGCTTGGTTGGTTGGTTGTAGTTCTGAAGATAATTTTACGCTGATCACAATTTTTTGCCGTTTGCCCACCACTTTTCTCGCAAGAAACATTAAAATACATTAAGACACTAACTAAGTTGATTTCGTCAAATTTAGATAATTGAATATATTATTCATCCTCACCGATCAATAGTTAAAATTTTTAAAGTACTTTTTGCAAATGTTCAAAAAAGTACTTACTTAAAAATGTATTTCTTTGGGCTGATGATACACAGTATTTTATATTCAAGTTAAAATTAATTGAGAGTAAATCTTAGTGAAGTCATATTGCCTTATCAAGGCATCTGAAGGCATTCTAAGCATATGTTATCGTACTAACTAGATAGTATTACTTTAGTTAGTATTACTATTTAATTAATTCGAGGAGGTTACTACTAGAATAGCATTATTAAAATATTTGACTAACCATTTTACAATTGCTTCAAGAATAGTCATCATCTGTTTAGATATACTCGAAATAACTGAATGGTCAGCTAAAAATTCAAGTAATTAAAAAATCAAAATAATTTACCGTTTATATTTCCACAATTACTATAACAAGTGTCGAAAAGAATGCGTAGTTCAAAAACTGGAATAATGTTGACAATATTTACCCAATACCTTATACCTTACCCAATACCCAATAACTTATTAGTTCCCAAGACATGATCTTATTACACTAAAGCCAAATAAATCCGGATGCCATAGATATTGTTACTTTATTTATAAAGCAAATGGAGGCAGCTGACTTCATTAAAGACATCTAATAACAACTTATGTGCAGTGTTAAGGCTAAATTAATTGTGATAGGTGTTATAAATGAAGTGAAGTTAGATAATAACATGAGAGAACGCAGAAAAAGTGATTAGTTATGACTGAGCACACAAAACGAAAGTGCATTAAAACACAAACAATACAAGTTCAATCCGATCACTAAGCACTTCGCAAACAAGGTAATGCAATGTAATTGCTTAAATATAGATACCAATGAAAACCAAAATTCAATTTGTTCTCACGTTTCTTTCTATTCTTATTTCACTACGAATAATCGAATGCTTTGTGTTCCATAAGATAGAACGGGTTCGCTGATTTCTAACAACACAACTAAGGATAATTGACATTATTGACATTCTGACTTAATTACTGACTTAATCACATCTAAAATTCACTTTTTAAATATTTTTGGCATAAACGAAAATAAAAAACTCAAAACGTGTGTATTATTATTTTTTTTCTATTTATTGTACTTTTATATTTTAATAAATAAAACTCTCTTTTAAAAGAAAAACATTTGTATTTTCTCCATCAACTACTTTCACTAACATAAGTCGAATGCTTTAAGTACTTCTCATACCATATCCTGTAATTATTTTCAAAATTATTTATATATTTACTTTATAAGAAAATAATATTATTAGAAAAGCAAATCTTTTCTTTAATGATTTCTTAGTCAAACTATTTGATATTATTTTCCTTTTAGGCAAAGGAAGTCAGGATAAGCACGTACAAATCGCATTTCTTAGTGGGATTTCGAATGAAAACACAAGCATACGTGTGTATGTGTGTGCCAATCAAACCACCCAGCAATGCTAAAGTCAACCAATACAACAAATATAAATGAACAAACATTAAAAACACAAACAAAACTTACTCATATGAAGAAGAAGAAAACAATAAAGAACATACGCAAGCACATACACATACACAGCATACATATAATAAAACTTAAGTTAGCCTTCATTTCAATCGTTTCATTTCGTTTCGTTTTCATTTTAGTATTTCTTCCTCATGCTTCGGCGTTTAGTGTTTTGTTACGCTTAACTTTTTGTTGCTTGGTTTTGTCTATGTGTGTGCATGTGTGTTTAAGTTAGTACTGCGAGTTGTACATGGAAAAAAATGCTTTTCCAATAAATTCGCAAATGTATTTGTGTTGCCAAAATATTGTGTGTCTAAAAGTTTTCCCCTTTTGGATGAGAAGATCTTTTAAGCATTTCGGGCAAGTCCTGATATTGGTTCTGTTATTCTTGTTTGTGGCTTTACTTGGCATTTGCAGGCTTTTGGTATCTTGGTCTCTTGGTCTGGTTAAGTTTGGATTTTCGACTGTGACAAATTGGTTTTTCTGATATATGATAAAATTAATATTTCTTCTTCTGCTTGATTATTAGTTCAATTTTATGCAAGGCAAATATTAATGCAGATCCTTACCTTCTTTTCTAGGATTTATGAATTTTATTAATATTTGCTAATAATTTGAGCTTAATTGTGGCTTCGTAAATGGTTTAGTTGTGGTATCGCATAAATTTGTATTAATGAATTATATGAAAACTAAACATATGTATATTTCGTTGGATTTATATTAGGAAAAATATAAAGGATATTTAATTGAAGCGAACTAATAGTAAATATTTGAAAATTTTTTGTTATATATTTGTTCATTGGAAAACTATTTCATTCAAGAAAATAATTAGTAATATAATCAAAGAATAATATATAAACAGATATCTACATATTAAATTAATCATAAATATATTTACTATAAAGTTTTGAATTTATTTCTCTACCTGTTTTTGTTTATTATAACGGTTTTATATATTTTTTATCCGGTTTTGGGTATCTTTTTGTTAAAAATATGGAATTTAGACACGAAATCAAGAACATGACGGTTAGATATAGATTTTATATAAAATATATATAATAAATATAAAATATATATAATTTATATATATTATATATATATAATATATACCTGTGAGTTTTGCTGGTTAGTAAGCCTAACTCGAAATTTAATGTGAAGGTACGAGTCAAAAAGGCCTGTTTAGCTTTCTTACCTTACAAAAGAATGTTCAGCACAAAGTGGGGGATTCATCCCGATATTATACATTGAATATACACAGACAATGTACTCATGCCACCATAGTTTGGTGACCAGCTCTGAATGAAAGCTACAACATTTAAAACTTATGACGCTCTGAACGTAATCCTACATTTACAACCTATTGATCTTCATATCACCATAAAAATATTCCTTGTTATAATGCTGTTAAACCGAAAGTGACGGGCATCCGCATAGAACGTATATGTGAGCATAGTTAGATTCTAGACACAATTACAAACTGTGTGAATAGAATGACTTCGAATTTACTGACTCCATATTTATGCTATCAAGAAACGAATGGATTAACAAAAAACTCAAGCAAACTACGATGTATCAATTTTCATATATGGCTCAAGAATGTACAACAAGGTAGGAGCAGAAATTTTCGCACCATTTGTAGACATACACTAATTCGTCTTTTCAGGCTGAAGTTTTAGTGATCAGGGAAGAGTGACGATTAATTACATTAAGAATAATTGTAGTGTTGTCATTTATACTGACAGCTACCCAGCAATCAAAAGTGTTTAATCTATTATCATAAAATTAAAGCTAATCAAAGAAAAAGAAGAAATTGGCGAGTTAAACTGGCTGACCTCACTCTCATCTAGACACCTAAATATAGGAATATTGAAGGGAATAAAACAGCATACGGTTTGACCCATCCAAGTGTTTCCCTATATATATCCTTAGGGGTACCGGTTATGTTTGTCTGGAGATCGTTAAGAGAAGTAATTACCACTACTCTCTTCAATTTGCCAATAATAAATAATAGAAGAAAGTCAACCACTGAAAGACAAAGAAATTCACTCGCATATATTTAGCATATAATCTATTTAACAGTGGAAATAAAATTTTGTGCCTTATGTCTTAGTCATTATTGATTGATATGTGCTCTGTACGATATTACAGATTCTTGTTAAAACTTTTTTCTTATCCAATTGAAACTATTAGCTATGTTTAACTTTATAGCGCTTATCAAAAGTATTTCGGTATATATATATGCTATATACGTGCACCATTATATTATGGTCGACAAGACTGTATTTGACTTTGGCAGCTATTTTAAAGAATTTGTTATTTTTCAGTCCAAAACGTTCCACGACATAATTTTGAAGATCGAATATAATTTTTTGTGGTGTCACACCATATACTATATAGTCAAAATAAGTGCAAAAAAAAATAAAACATAGAAAATTTATGGTGATTGCTATATATATTTGAACTTATTGAATGTTGTAGCCAAAAATAAATTACCAAAGGGTTGTATTTAATCGTCATCCTGTCTCAGCTATATTGCTAGTCAGATGTTGTCTTGTTTGCATGCTTCTACAATATAACTTTCTATTTTTTCATCTATATAAGGTAGTCCGGTTTAATCTAACCTTTATTCCGGAATGCTCAGTCTCCTTAATCGCTAGTCTGGCTCACTCATATCGTTATATGAAATTTCGTTTTGACATAAATGGGTATCGAGTGCCTTGAAAAAAAATTTTAAACATATTTGGCCAATCATAAAGATTTTTTTCTTACATTTGTTGAGTCAACTTCTTCAATGGACATTAATGAACCTTGAACCGGAGATGACGGTTCCTCAGTATCGCCATTAAAATATCTTATTATACCGGGGCTTATAGCTAATTGAGGAGGGGAATTTGTACTTCTCCCCTCCCAAAACTTTATAAGATTAGCTACAAGCCCCTTAGGTATTTCATTAGTCGTTACTTGTTCAGGGTTCGAAGAAAATTGCTGTAGAGCCGCATGGTTTTTGAGATTAAACAGACGCTTCATATTCAGAAATTTTGAATTTTGAATTTTGAATTTTTAAAACTGAAATTTTGAAACTATTTGTAAAAAATATATTTTAATCTAATGAACTAATATTTTATATATTGCTGGTTAATAATTTTAAAACTTTCTGGCCCACTGTGCTTATTATTTTTTTTAATAACCACAAGTACTTTTCGACTCTCCATGCTACTTCTAACGCGAATTATTAATGAGTGTTAGAGAACTACACATACTTTAACAACTCTTTCGTTACTAGTTCTGTACACCAAACAATTTTTGGTTAGATTCTTCTATTCTATTCTTCTGTATGTAAATACGTATTATTTTCTAATTTAATCTGAGGAAATTTTATACTCGTATATGTTCCTAATAAAGAAGAAGCTGTGCTGTATAATAGTTAAGACACTCTCATCTGTAGCAAATATACTAGCAATCGAGTTTGGACTTCACCAAGCGAACTAGTAGCGATTAAAACTACCAACCAATATTTCAAATAACTTCATTTGTATTTTAAATTTCTTTTTTTAAGTTTTTAATTTAAAATGGTATGATATCTGAAACTTTAAGGACATTAATGCTTTAAAAAAGAAAAACGTTAAGCCAATACAATCTTTAAAATTCTATTAAAAATTCACAAAGCGTTTTTCCGATTGTAATCCAGCGCTTGAAAAATATAAAACCTCGAAGCGAAATTTTCGCTATACTCTGGGAACTCCTGTACAACGCTTGATATGACTGCACTTTTAAGCTTTTAATACTTACACAAAAAGTCAGAACTATGGTGAAAAACCAAAATAAAACCATATATAAAATATTTTTAAAAATAAAAAAGAATAAATAAGAAAATAAATTATTTATGGAAGCACAGCAAGTTAAGTCAGAGACTTTCCATGCTAAAGCGTAGGTTACATTGATTTAAGGGATAAAAACGTTAGAGACAAGAAAAAGGAAATCTAAGATTGAAACTTTCATCAAAAATTAAATAAAAATAAATATAAAAATAAAAATAATAGTAAAAGTGGAAGAGTACAAGTAGAAGAAGTTTTTATTTATTTATTTCTCTTTTTCAGTCGTCAAGTACACTTCATTGCACAGTAAGTTTTATAAAAATGGAAATGAGCCAAGTTTTCGACGAAACCAAAAAAATAAAATAAAATAAAATAAAACTGAAACTTTCCAACAGGAGCAAGAGTATTAAGAATATAAAGAATACAACAATAATATAAAAATATCTATGGTATTACCAATAAAAGTAAAATAGCATTGTAAAGTTTAAAATTTTTAAATGCAATTCACAATAGCAAAACATTTTTCAAGTGTCCTTTTCACAACAACAAAATTGCACTTGAAAAGTAAATGAAAACTAAAAATCTGAAAAATCTGTAAAACTTCCTGGCAAAAACTTAGAAAATCTCTATGAAAATAATTCTGAAAGCTAAAAGAAAAACAAATGAAGAAGACTCCGTTGTGTGGGGATCAGTAGTTGTCAGAACTTTTCACAATAAAATAAAATAGCAAATAAATCAAGAGATAAATAAATGAATAAGTAAATAAATAAAATCAGAGAATTTTTTTTTTTTATATTTGCTTCTAAAAAACTATTTAAAAGGGGGAATTTTATTGAGTGGGTAGTGCCAAAAGTAGCTAAGCAACATTTTGAACTGCAATGCTAAAGTACAGTCACTTTAACTGCAATCATTGCAGTTTTTACTACATTTCAGCGCAACGAGTTGCAACTCATAACAACGGAACAGTGAAAATATGAAACAAAGCAGAAGGCAGGGAGCATCAGAATATTACAGAACATTACAAAATGCAATTCCTTGCAAAAGCAGCGCCGGGAGATGAGAAATTAAATCAACGTTAAAGTTGAATCATCTGACGTTTTGTATTTCTTTGGAAGAATAATCGCAGGAAATTAAATTTCAAACAGTGGCAAAAAATGCACACAAATCATATTTTCCTTTGAATTGTCTGAACATTGAAGAAATTTCATTTGATTTTATACATTTTATATCATTTAAGGATTAGAGAAGAAAAAATTGTAGTAACTTAGCTGTGCCTTAATAAGTTTGTGTTATGTTGCTAATATATCACATTGTTGGTTGATTGTTAAGGATATGATTGACAAGGTTTAATTTTATTGTTATCTTTTCACTGCTACATTTTATTGATATTAAAAAAGTAATTTTTATAAAAGCTAGTAAATATACTTAACAATTTTTGGCATAAGATACAGCCACGACCTAGAACGGCTAGCTGAAGGTGAAACAATAAACAAATTTATAAAGAAAGAGCGATTAAGATGGGTTGGATATGTGATAAGAATGCCGGATTTGAGAGTACCGCTTAAGATTTATGAGAACGAAGTAGGAACCAGCAGAAGAAGAGGTCGACCAAGAAAAGGATGGAAAGACAGTATGCAGCAGGACTTAGAAGAAATGAACATAAGAACTTGGAAAAGAAATACAAAAAAACAGAAGAATTGAAGACTGTTTTTAAAGAGGATTAGGTCCTACATAAACTGTATAGTCACGGATGATGATGATGAAATATTATTATCAAATTATTTACAGATCTTATATTAACATACAAGTGATCAAATCAGCATAAAATACTTTGTAAAAGTTAGATTAATTTCATTGCTTCTACAATTAATAATTTTTTTTAGAAATCACTATTACATTATTATATAGATTATGAAATTAAAACTATATAGCTTCTAAAAAATATGCCAAAAACTTTGATTTTTAGACTTCCATCCAAGTTGATACTTGTAAACTTACAGAGTGTCGTATTACTTACAGTATTACTTAAAAAATTAGATTAGAAAGATATAGATTACAGAAACCAAGTTTTAAGATATCTTAGTATTATTAATTTCTATTGAGATTGCAAGATTAATTTTCTAATCTCTTCCTGGGGTTAAGTTAGAATCGCAAATTTATATACAATAACGGTATTATATTGAAAAAAATAACTTGGGACTCCGTATATTAAGGCCCCTATAAGATGGAAAATCAAATACTTAAAACCAAATATGACTACACAAACAATTGGGAAGAACCAAGTCTTTTCTATGGTTCTATGGTATATTGTAAAAAAGCTCAAAGTTATAATAGAAGTAATGAACTCCATATAAAAAATAAAAATATTAAGTTTATATTTGTTTAATAAAGTAGTTAATAAAGGAATAACACAACACCGCAACGAACAGCAGTTAATAATACTAGGCATCAAAGTCAACTAACACTATTGTTAACCCATATGAATAACTTAAACTTAATTTAATTTATATTGCAAATATAATGTATATTATATGTAAATATAATGTAAGTATCAAAAAAAAAAAATTCTGTCTTTCACTCATCGTTATACTGTAATAGGTCTTTGATCTGAGCTATCTTCAGCCTTTTAACAAAACTATAAAATACATTATTAAAATCCCTGCGATTTCATACCGTTTTGTGAAGAAAGCAGCAAGTAGCACACGTAGTAGAAAGAAACTCCTTCAACTAAACATTAATTTGTAATTATAAAATTAATTTAATAAAGTAAGTTCATTGATGCATAATTTGCAATAATTTTATTTAATAAGTCAACATAGTTGTGTTTTATCAGAGCTGCCCCATCTGAAATACAAGATGTGAAAGCTGGTAAGGACTTTACTAGTAAATTTGGACCAACTTTGTTTCACAAGTTTTGTCTTTGAAGAATATAGAAAAACATGATTACATTGTAAGGATGAAATTTTATTATAATCCCACATATTATTAATACTTATTAAAAATCCATTTTTTTAATTAAACACTCTGTAAATTTCGAATCAGGTGTTCATTTTTTTCTGCCACTAGCAAAATTTGTTAGAGTTGTTGTAATTTTTTTTTGTTTATCTGTATAAATAAATTCAAGAAAAAAAATATTGTGGACTCATTTTTTTTTCTATGCAGTTATTCAGAAATTTGTTTTGACAAATTTGTTTGTCACTCGACTTACGGGATCTTGTTTACATCAAAATAATTAAGTTTTTTGTTTTTGCCTACAATAGAAAGAATTTCGAATTTCTCTCTCTTAAAAGTAAATCACACATAATAGGGAGAATAAAGGAAACTCAGTCCAAGTGATATGGACACATGATGATTCGTTTGTCCTATGCTGACGATCACTATGTAAATAGTTGATGTGTGGGGGCGTGGCGAGGCGTGGCAAAGGGGAAATGATCTGACAAAGTGGGATTTAACTGAATTTTAGTAACTTTTAACTTTTTCAACGCTCACACAATAAACGCCAATACAAACTAAAGCAAAAGTATCTCATTGACAATCAAAATAGATTTTGTTGCCATTGAATACTATATCAAAAAAAAAACTATTAAAAGCAAAGTATTTTGAAAAACTCGAATTTATTTTTTAGTCCAATAACATGTGATATGGATGGTTTGGTAGTGTATATATTCTTGAAAAGAAGTAGATTTTAGTTCAACAGTAGAAATATCTGTAGTCCGATCACAACTCTTATCACACGAAAATGAACTTCAATCAGTGTACCTTCCACATGAACGTTAAAAATATTTTTGTCTTCAAAAATCGGAATAATTAAAATTTGACAAACAAATAACTGTATATATTAGTTCTCCGAGCCATTCGATTAAGTATCAATCACATTTATTGTCATTTGAATTTGGATATCATGCAGGCCAACATGTAAATGTGTGAACTTTTCTCACTTTAAAAACCAGAAATCCTCTATTTTTATGCACAGTATCCAAGGATCATTATTAACTACTTATAGCAATAGAACAGCCATTTCGTTATGACTAATCATAAACATTTTCAAAGCACGGATTCTTCTTAGCCACTTACAGCAATGGATTATCGGTTTCCTAATGACTAAATATACTAACCTCTCGCTGCAAACTGAACCAAGTTTAACAAATTCATACTCACGTGTAACTGAATGGTCGTTTTTCATATTCTGTTTTGGTTCACACGACTTGGTAACAGTGCTTTTTTTTAGTTATCTTTCTATTAATGCGATATCTGGTAGCTCTCTGAAAGTGACTTTTAGACTGTTCTTCCCAAATGCTAATAGTTCAATAAAATGTCTCTTTGATTCAGTCAATTCTAGTATTTCAATTTTGCGTTCGGCTGTTATTTCCGCTACTTTCATTTTCAATTTTTTATGACTTATAGATTTATTTATACCTCAACCTATATGAATTATATTTAATGTTCTGCTACACTAGCGCACCAAATTTAGAATTTTGAAATCTAAATGTGATTAATTTTGTAATAACATGTACCTAAATCTAAAAATTAAATAAAAAAAAAGATTTCACACTTTTACGCTTACTTCTTTTATAATGTAGATATGAAATTAAATAATATAAAATTTGACTAATACCAATAACGAGTCTACTACAAGGATACTTTAAGTGGAAAATGAAGATAATCTGCTAATACCTTTTTTACCATTTTGAGAGAATAGCGTTAGCGAAACAATTTTTCCATAAAATCGAAAAATATATGCACTGTAATGAACATTCAAAATTCGGCAACTTGGGTGGTTCCAAATCAATTAAAAATTTCAATTCACACTCACCTATTGTTTTAGTCCATTGTGCAGTTGGCCTCCAATCTGGATAATGTTTCGGAAATAAATCTCTTGTCCAATAGGTGTGCAAAACCACCTTGTAAACAGCAAGTCGATCCATATTACAACCGCTATTAGGCGCTGGTTGTGTTGGTAAGATATTTGTTGCTGTTGCTGTCGCTGTGGCTGTTGCTGTTCTCGTAGCTGATGTTGCCATTATGGCAGCATTATCTTTTGAATTCAAATTGTTTGTGTAATAAAAATTACGTGACAATGTGCCGCCAATGTTGCTATTACGGTAATTGACATCATTAACAGCAGTGGTTCTCATACGTTGCTGTTGTTGTTGTTGTTGTTGCTGCTGTTGTTGTATTTGTAGTTGTTGCGATTTATTAAGAGCATTTTGATTGGCAATTGTGTAACTGTAAATCGAGGGATTTGAAACAAAAGAGGTGTCATAACCGTAATTGGAACCACTTCCGGATTTTGTAAACAATACCGGTTCAGGTGATGGTGCTGCCAGGCACAAATTAAATAAATAAATAATAAGAAACAATGACGTTAAATGAACGGAAATCGACATTTTGTATTTGTATGGTGGCTCTTTCATACTAAACGTCACACAAACTTATAGTGAAGAGAAGAGTAAAATTGTTTTTAATAATTTTTTATTTAATTTTATTGTATTATATTTTTTTTTGTTGTATTTTATTTTAAAAGAAATAACAATTACACAATTTAAACACTTTAGGATATGTTTCGTTTAACTTTGTTTGTATTTAGGAGTACTTGACCCTCACGTTTCGTTTAAGTATCTTTCAGCGTTGCCGGCAATCTAAGGAAATTGAAAGCGACACACTCGTCAGAGGCAGAAATTTTCTTGAAATTAATTTTCCGGCTATTGTTCTTGGCAGTTGAAAGAAACTTGCAAATTACGAATAAGAAAAAATCGCCACAGTTTAGCTTTATTTTGCGTGAAATTCGCACAATTTCCTTCCTACACTTTCCTCCGCAACAGAATATTTTTTTAATTTTCAAATTTTTTTTTTTTAGATTTAATATTTTTATTTTTTCGTATAGTTTTTTTTTTCTCAATGCGAAGACTTACGCTGTTATTTTTCACGGGTGGCCCGCGCGTAAATGTCACCGACTGCACTAGACTTTAAATTAAAATTTTAATACATAAATTTATTTTTTATTTTTCCCTTCTTGACAAATTCTTATATTTATGTTTTAATTTTCTTTACATTAAAATTTATATATTCAAGAATTTTTTTCTTATTTATTTTCGCATTCAAAACACGCACTTTACTCGACTAATTTCGCCTTTGGCGCGCACGTTTCTTAAACTCACCGTTCCCGTTAATTGCCGTCCGAACTCGTTGCTGTTTCGTTTCATACTAAACGACACACGGCGCCGTTGAACGAAACTTCCACCCAAGAAAATTGTATTATTTTCGAATTCGAAATTCGAATTTGGGGTGCGTGTCACACTTTCTCTTCGCCATTCTCTCATAAATATTTTGTTTTGGTTTTCTTCACAAAATCACTAGAGAATTTGTTTATGTTTATTTTTCAATGGGAAATATTTTCATTTCACTCCGTGAAGCAACAGCCTGTTGACTGTTTTGGGAAATATTCCATAACCTTAGATCCAAAATTTTATTTGGTTAACATATCTTCCACGCTATGAAAATGAGCATTATCTTCAAAGAATATCTTTAAGTCCAAATACCTCATATTATGCTGTGCGAATTATGTATCGAAATTAAAACCCGGGTCGATTGACTATTTTTTGACAACTGAATGCCAGTTTAAAAATTTGTGTAAACAAGGTGCCGTTATTTCTTGCACAAACAAGGTACAGTTACATCTTTTAAATAACAACTCATGAGCAATAAATTATTTAATTTACAATAATAAGTTTATAATATTGTTTTGCATATTGATTTTAGTATAAAATATTCTACATAAAAATAAATAACTAAATTTTGAAAGCTGAAAGGGAATGGAATATAACTTGCGCTCCTGTATAAATGATTAATTTGTATCTTCCTCGAACCTTTTACTATTTACAACAAAATTTTCAGACGAGAATGTGTTTAGATAATCTCTAGACCTTAGTATATTTGTTACAGATCAAGTTTCCTTAACCCAAATTCTTTTCATAATCGTTATATACAGCGTCTTATATACATTAACATTGCTATAGAGTTTTACAAAAGACTATGAGTAGGTTAATTTATAAAAAATTTAAAATTAAAAAACACAAATTAACAACTATAGCTCACAATTAGCATACATATGTATGTAAATGAAAGTTTTTATTAAATAGTAAGACTTTTACAAAATTGAAAATAGAATTAATACTTTCTCTAAACAATTATACGATTTAGTTCGGTATAAGAATCTGCAAAGATTAGCCGTATTCTGTAAAGCTCTTAGGTATATAAATCTAAAACATTGCATTTAATGCCAATTTTAAGAAATCTTGCGTGAATACAGGTACATAATACTTATTTAGAGGAAACAACCCCTCTACCCCCTTCCGCATCTCATATTGTTCCTAGTAAACTTCCTGAAGATCTAAAAGCGCCACTGTTTATCGTTAATAATTACTTCTGCGCAGCAAATGTAAAGAATAAGAACTTATATGGCATATATGAGTATTAAAAGCAGTCATAAGAAGCTGTACTTTAGCAACCTAAACGTATAATTAAAGTGGGTTTTTCCGAAATGGAATGTTATTGTTCTGATATAAAAACTAGGATCTCTCTGCTGCTATCATGTAACATACACAGCCAACTGTTAGGCTTAGACTAAAGTACCATTTCTGTTCTCCAATCTTTACTTTTAAAAGAACATACACAGTTATTTAGAAATTATTTATGTAAATATTTATTTAGAGATATAAGAGATATTATAATATGTAGTTATATAATATATTTTATAATATAAAACAAATTTTCAAATTGAGATACTAATTTTTTTATTTTCTTAAACTGCTGGTTTTGATGGACACACATTAATATATATAAATAATACCAGTTTAAATACATTATTTTGACTTTTATAGTAACATGTAAAATATATTTTTTAACTCATTCGAAGTAATCATTTTTATATATTCGTTCTCTGAAATTGTATATTTGTCATCAACATAACATTTCATTATAAGGTAATTTAATAAGTCAAGTAAAATTATTCTCTAGTCCCCAATTCAAATTCATTTGTAAAATTTTTCCAAATAGGTGAATACGAGTAATCAGTAGTTTTCTTAATATTCTTTAAATGCTAATATGTTTTGTATTAATTTTGTTTTTAAGAAGACGTAAATTTATACCCAACCATTTTTCCTGAACTGTTTTTGCCTAAGAAATTTTTGTTCTAGTTAAATATGGATCAATGCCCCAACACCAGACCAGGCTTAAATACAAAGCATCCAAAAATTATCTGGGAGTTAATAAAGCCATTTTCTCTAGAACAAACGTTGGTGTAAATTTTTAGTATTTTAAAAAGGTCCTCTTCAGACAATTCGACTGGAAGTAAAATTCGTAAACTTTCGTTATTATGCGGAACAATCAAAGCTCGAATATGTTCCACGAATTTGTTGTTAACTCCCCCTCCATCTGCATTATCAAAAGCAATATATAGGGGAGATAATTTTTTATTATATTTTTCGATAGATTTGCAAAGGAGAATTGTGAAATTATTGGATGGCTCCCTCAGTATGCATTGGAGTTGATTTCCAAAGGCCGAAATAATGTTTCTCTCACTCATTTCAGCTAAATTATCACACCTCAGAGTTGTTGGAAGTATCTTTATCATAGCATCAGTACTCTCCACATTAGATCCGCATAAAAATTGGTAAATATTCTCATGCCAATCAGTTTTCTTATTGTCAAGTAATTGTGGTTTAAATACCCTAGGATATGCTTTGTATTTTTCTGAAAGTAAAACAAAATATTGAAAACACTAACCAAAAACTGATTTTTCTAGTCCACAAGTAAAATTTTTTTAATTAATTTCCATATTATATCTATAAAGTTATATTACCAGGAAACCAAACTACTGTGTTGTCTTCTGCAGATAATTCCAGCATGGAATTTAACCTCTTAAATTTGCCACACTCATTTATTTTTTCGTCCATAGATGGCATAAGCTTACAAAATCGTCTAAATTTCTGATCGTCCAACTGAAGCGCAAAACTATCAGATTGCCTTGTCCACAGGTAACGAGCAAATAGTCCACCAGTAATCGGTTGCGCTTCACTTCTTTGCAGTACTGGATTAAGGGCCTCAAATGTGTAAATTCTGTTACCAACTGCAGGATATTTCTCAGTCTGGCGCTTTGCACTATATAGGGAGTTGATAAGTGTATACTTCATTGATTTCACCAAACGAATCATTTTGAAAATTTTGATACTCAAAAATTTGACACAAAATAAAAAATTTAAAAAACGTGATTGTCAAAAATAAATAATTTTCGAAGAGAAAATTAGTAAACATTCTTTAAATAAATACAATTTATATGTTCACATGATTCGTAGGTAATTTAAAATTTTGAAATTGTATTTGGTTACTTAGGTTAATAAATGTAAATTTAAAATGACTAAGTTCAACTCAATCCTTAAATTCAAAAGCCCCACTATACATACCCATTGAGTTCAGTTAATCTCGGTTTTGTAAAAGTATTATTCTATAGCACACAGCCGTTAATAAATAAACTTGATACCTATATAGTATGTACTTAACTAAAATTTTTTATCTAAATTTTAACCATGTAAGGTCAACTAATCTTAAAAGTACTAGACAGTGTTGAAAGGCATCAAAGGTTCGACCACAAATATTCTGACAGCACTATTTTAATAGATGTATTGAAGCAAGGTCCAAAAAGTGTGATAACATATGACAGAAAATCTTTGATGCAAATGACAAGAATAATCGATTGTGCATGGAAATATGACGATGTGATGTGAGGTATGTGAGGTAGTTAGAGAGAGAAAGACTTAAACCGACTTACAGGACAAAATGTTTTTTGAGGGGATATTGAACAATCTGTAAAAGTGGTAATAGAGTTCATGGCACTATATTTCTTTTTTTTTGTTTGATGTTAGGTGTGGTAACCAGTTGCAGAAATCCCCACCCTAAAACTAGCGAGAATACTGGGCCTGCCACTGACTTTTTATATAAGGTTTATATATCTCTTAAATACATCTTATTTGCCTCCGAATTCAGTCAATTGAATTCAGAAATAAGGCGCACCAAAAAAACTAACAAAATCATAATCAAGCCTGATTTCTAACTTAAGATATATATTTCTCGTAAATAATATTTATTTGAGCCAAATCGCAAACAGATATAAGAGGTAACAGTTACCAAAACTAAAATTCAAAACTAATTCCTTTATTTAGGGTTATATTTTCTTATATGTTATTTAATATAATGTAGTTCATCTATCAGTTTTAGGAAGATAAGGTGCACAGTTTGGAATATCCAACAGTACTAGAAAAAATGTCAGTCTATGGATAATAACTATAGTATTATCGAAACTTTCCTACTAGTTTAGCATACATAATTAATAACTTGACAGATTAAATTTTCCATAATTACAAACAAATCATTTACAAACATATTTTACAAGTAACTTTAAAATATTTTAAAAAAAAGAAGTTACTTTAAGCAAAACAATCAACTTAATGATATATCTGATGATCCAATATTAGCTATCTTGTACTCCACCATCTATAATTCATGTTCTCAATCATTATATGCAATTCAATTAATTGACACTGTAATCAGTTGATATTGTCATCAATATTTGAAGATTCAAATTGAATAAATGAATAAAACATTGTAATCACGCCAAAAAGGTGACCTGACGATACATTCAATTTGCTTAAGCCCAATAATTTTGAATTGCCGGTGCCGGTAATTGTCTTATGGAAACAATGACACTCGTTGTTATCATTACTAGCAGCAATTTGCTTAGCTCACTGCAATGCACTCATTTATCTGTGCCATGAGACAGAAGTGCATAGATATCCGTTCAATTATGTATATATATATCACAGCAAACACATGTCTGTCTGTCTGTCTGTCTGGCCGTCCGCCGGTACGCCTATCTGCATATCTGAACATGCACACACTTAGCTGCAGAACGATTAGCGTATTTGTCCATTTAATAAAGGCGGCATTGTTTTTAGTACTTAACTGTAATTATGCCCACTTAAATTTCAATGAAGAGTCCAATGGAGGAAAGGGGGTTCTGTATAGATACAATAACATTATGCAATATTGTATATTCACTTTATAGTATCTCAACCCTTTGTATTTATAATTGAAATTACATTCATACAATTATAGACACATGTTCAATCTCATACATTTTTTATTCTATTAGAAATACGAAGTATGTAGAGTGTTTATTTAATTATACATCAATTTTTATTTACACTTTAGGTGATGGTGTAATAGATTAGTCCAATTTAATTATTACTGAAGATGTGAAAATAACGAGGGAAAGTTAAAATAGAATAGCTATCTACACAGAGTACTCTAAGATGAATAAAGACATCAGAGCCAGAATTAGAGATTAGTAAATCCTACCATCTCTCCGATTCGATTCCGATTTTAGCTAGAAATCTTCGTCACCCTACTGTTGAGGAAAGAGTTTCACAAAGAGGAAGTCTATATTCTTACTGACAATCAGCTGTTGAAGCTATATCAGTAGTCCGCATTTCATTTGAAATAGAGCAAGAATGTAAGCATTGTATTAACGCAGTAAGGGGCAAGTCCAAGTTAACTCTAATTTGACTTACAGGGCATATAAAAATAAGAAAATAAATATTTTTACATTCCTTTTACTATATAACACAAAACAAATTAGGCTTCTCGATTTTAACATAAGAAAAGAAGACATTAACATTATCATAACATTTACATTGTTTTCTGTTAAAATTTCCCACTGTTCTGTTAACGTCTCTTTTTCGATGTGGTACGCATGATTCTCTCTGCCTTCAACGAAATGCCACTTCAAGCTCTCGGACTGTTGCAACTTAATTCAATTTGCTCGAATTTCCATGAATAAAACATCTGAAAATCTTTTTTCGAATATGCAATTTTTCATTCATTGCTCAATTTCATTACTGAAATAACTTCAGTCGCAAACCCAAAGAGCAAAAATTGATTCAAATGCCAAGAAGTGAATTCTTAATAAAGTTGCCATTTGCCTTCAAAAATCCAATGCATCGTAAATGTTTCATTTGAGGTTCTTTCTTTACATGGCTCTTCATTATTCTTCCTGTTCGTGTGGATGTGGTCTAGTCTAATTCTGTGTACTTTAGTATGCAGCAATCGGTATGTATGGAGCAGCCGATACATATGGAGCAGACGGTATGTATGGAACAAGGACTAAGGACTGTGCAACATGCTTAAAATGCATCTTGTGTGATTTTCAACAAATCAAATTCGGAGAACCAAATAATAAAAATTTCCTTTGGGTATTTTGCATGGATTAGTAGTGTTTTAGTGTTATTATTTATTTTATTTCTTTTTAAATTGTCTCCATTTACGACTTCGTTCCCATTAGATGAAATCAATTTTTAAAAGTTGAAAAAAAAACAAAGAATTGTTATGCACAACACACTATAAAGAAATCTGTTTATTTAAAATAAATTGGGTAAATCAAAACATCCAGCTGTTTGAATCGAGTTACTGAATAAATAACGTAAATAAATCTTGATCGGAAAATATATGACACAATACTGCTGAAGAATGAAACATACCAAATACGAAACAATCACGATTTTGATCGCATAATAAAATGACAGAACGGGTAAAATAAATCGTTAAGCTTGAGATGGTTAGAATAGAGTCCTAGGAATACAAACCAATCAAATATGAACAGAAGCAGTAATACAGCATTAATTCAAAAACATGGCACATCGAGTGAAAGAGGGAACAATGATTAACAAATAGGTATGCATTATTGGTGAGCTATAACAGAAGATCAGGAAAATTAGAATACATTGGTTATTAAAGCACTAATTTACCAAAGCGTGTAATAGTAAAGCTCATATTTTTCGTGACCGTGTTTTTTACGCTCTCTGTGTCACAACAATTGAGGCATATTATGCAGACAATCACATTGCAGTTGTCAGTTGCATACTTTTTTAACTGTTTAAATACATTCATAGTGAACAATACTACTTTTGTATGTGCTCTTGATGCGATACTAATCTCACTCTTTCCAACAAAAGGACTCCATGTGGTGATCTCCGGTGTTACTTAATCTTTACCCCGTCTTATACCTATTTATCTCTTATAGATGTTTTATTTACATTTCCACCATTATTACTTAACAATTCCAATTTTCCTATATTTCCGCCAATCCAAAATAACAGGGTCCCGCTTCGGACGAAATTTTGAAGTACAGTTTGGCCAAAGACATTTTTCAAGATAGTTCACGAAAAAATTCCAGATGCATCCCAAAAACACGGATACCATAATCTTGTCAGCTGTCCTTGCATTTATGTTTGCGTTTCCCGCTTTGGGCGTAATTCAAAATTTCGTCTGAAGCGGGAAACGCTTCGGATATTTTCTTGAAAAATGCCTTTGACTACATCCAAAACAACTGTTTTGTCCAAAACTGTGCTTATGTCTAAAAGTGTGCTTGTGTGCAAAACTAATTTAAGTATAAAAATTAAAATATTTTACAAGTAAACAATAAAAAGCTGATATATAACCATTTTTCTTCAAATCTATGTTCCTGTTCACAACAGTGTTTATATCCAAAACTGTACTTATGTCCAAAACTGAAATTTGGTCCAAGACTACGCTTATGTCCAAAATTATGCCGACGTCCAAAACTATGATTTTCTTCAAAACCAATTTCAGTATGAAACTGAAAATATTTTTCAAGTTAACAGTAAGGATTATTCTTTCGATTAATCCAAGATAAATGTTTTTCTTATATGCATGTCCAAATTTATGTTTATGTCCACAACAGTGCTTATATCCAAAATAATTTTAAGTATAAAACTCAAAATGTTTCGTAAGTAAACAATACAAAACTGTTAAATAACTATCTTTCGACACATCCAAGACAAATATTTTTCTTACCATTTCAATATAGTTTAGAATATACTACTACATACATACGCTAGTAACATAACATTTTACCTCCGCATGCATTAACTATAACTTTTTTATCAAAACCTCTAATTTATGTTACAAACGTCACTGATGTACGAAATATTCAGTTTCAGTTCTAAGTAAGTTAAAAACACATCGCATGTTTTAATAACAATTTTGTGTAATAGAAAGTATATTATCACATCTGTACCAACTTCGAAAACCACATCATCACCTCATTCCTTCTGATCCATAGAAAAACATTTAACCCCAATACTCGTACTGAGCAATCCTACCATCATCTCATGCAATCATCTCAATTAAAGCAAAGAATTCACATTACCC